CTTCAGCCGATGACATCAGTTTAACGACTGACTGTCGCTTTTGTTCTCTTTGTCTTTTTCACATACCCGTCTTCGTTGGCGGAGTTGCCACCGATCTATAATACTATATTCCCACATACATACATACATACATATTACACACAAAGTTTATTTTCTTTGTTTATTCTCCCTTGCTCTTCTAATGTGGATCATTCACATTGCGTTATTAGCTGTCAAAATCGTATATGCAAAAATCCTATACCAAAATATGCAAGGCCAAGAGAGCACCCATTGCAGAATCTAGTGATATACTTATGACAGCTAAAACAGGGTTGCAATTGTATTATATTTTTACACATCATTGCACACATATGCACGTTTTCGTATGGCATATTCGACAGCCATTGCAAACAATTTTCTGAGTTGTGCCGTTGCACCAAGTGGAAAATTCTAAAATTCGTGCACCGTGCAAGGATTTTGCAAGAGCAAAATAATATCCCTAATGTATTTTTTTCTTGAGCAATTACTTAAGAGCTGAATACGGACCTTAAGGAATTGAATGCATTAGCTGCGATTGCATCAGGACCAATCCACTTTTGCTCGATATGACCACCTTTGGCCTTGATACACTTTCGCCAGGCTCGATGAAAACAATTGGAGACCATTTTTCATATTTTTAGTTCTTTAGCCATTTGATTGGTACTTCGTTGTGGATTTTGCTTAAGTCACTTCTTCACTTTCCGAACAATCTCAGCAGCCTTTTGATGACCACCTCCTTTGAGTTTTGCGATTCATCGAGTAACGAGTGATGGTGCGATAAACTAAAACTACAGTGCCGGACCCTGTATTTGCTTGACTAATGAATCCCACTGATTGACAACTAAGTGCTGGTGCAGTCCAGCACACTTTAAGGAAACTATATTGATAGTCTATATCTTCGGTTTAGTTGAGATCTCTAATACGTGCATCACAAGGATCGACATAGTGTAAGATGTCGCACTCGTTTGCTAGAACAGCTGCTTCGGCTGGGAAATTGACGAACGTCCATATCCCATCGGAGATGAAGCGTCCGGTAGCATCCGGTATAACCTTGGGGAATTGAGTTCAACATTCTTTCACAGAAATGGGTAGAGCGGTGAGAGTGTTCTTAGTAAAGCCGGCCCAGTCAGCTTTACTGAAATGAGCGTAAGTGTGCTTGTCCACAAAAACAAAGCCGGAGATTGTGTGGATGGAGATAGTTATAGGCAGATTGGCTAAATGAGCACCTGACCTCCCTCTCAATACAGTACTCCTACACCCCACACATACACACCATACTCAGCACGACTACACCACCTCCATATCATCCACATATCATACTCCCTACATTTACACCATATTCATCATCCACACCTCACACTCAACACACCAGCATCATCTGCACCACACACGAGAACACCGGACACAATGGACAAGAAGGGACTGACGGACGGCGCCGACCTCTCTTTTGTTTTTTTTTCGGTCCGTGCGCATACACGTAGTCAACAATCTACGAGACTCGGGCATCTTTTTAGTGGTATGTTCTGCCATGCTTGCTGCACCACGGTCAACAACTCTTTGTTGTTTTTAGGTTTGTCATTCCATAGGGCTTTCTTAACGTCTGCCCAACGATTTTCAATGGGATTGAGGTCAGGGGATTGAGCTGGCCAATCCATGACTTCAATTCCATTGACCCGAAACCAATCCTTTGCCACCCTACTGGTATGCTTCGGGTCATTATTCTGCTGAAATATCCTGTTCAGCGGGATGTCCCCTTCAGCAAATGGTATCATAATATACTGCATTATATCCACGAATTTGTGTCGGTCCGTTATGCTAGTAATCTTGTGAATTGGGACTGCACAAAAAAATTGGGCCTGTAAGAAAAACACACCAAACCATGAAATTCGAACCGCCAAGCTTCATAGTTTTTGTGCTGAATCTGGGGTCGTACTCTCCATTAGGGCAGCGTCGTAGATACTGAAGGGACCCTTTACCGCCGTATAGAATAACTTTCGACACGTTTGTCCACAAGATGTTGCGCCATTTCTCAATCGGTCCTTTGGTAAATTTAAGACAACTTGCTCTATGATTTTATTTAATAACCGTACTTATCGAGGACTGCGGACATATAAATTATATTCATGTAGAAGTCTTCTCACTGTATGAACACCGTAGGCCAGGTTCGGTTCATTACGAATCTCCATAGCTGACATTCTAGGTCGAGTCTTGGCACATCTTACAACTATTGGTGTAAAACTCTCGGAAAGAATCCATATTTCGCCCCTTTTGTCATTTGTTTTTTTTATAAATAATTGCATTGTGAGTCCTTGTGGCTTAACACCCTACAATTCTTTCCACTCCCTTGTAGGATTTACCGTTGTTTATGACAGATTGAATACATTCACTGCAGTGCTTCCCGCGGCCGAAAAAAAGTGCCAAGTCATATCTGGAAACTTACTTTTTGTTTGATAAAATTAAATTATTTTTATTAAAAATTATCTGTTTGCAATCATCTCATCGTTCACCACTATTCTATTGCTCGCTCATAAAAACAGATATCCCAATAAAATTTTCTTTAAAAAAGTAACGGTAAGTAATTCACACTTATTGTTGTATATTACAGGACCGTTCAAAAGCAAAGGTGGCACCTTTAAAAACTATAAGTCTCCCACGACTTGAGTTATGTGGCGCACTACTACTTTCTAAATTAGTAGCCATGGTGCAAATGCATTTAAACATGACAAAATGCAAACTGTATGTGTGGCCCGATTCAGAAACTGTACTAGCCTGGTTGGAAAAACCACCACATGCATGGAAAACGTACATTTCTAACCGAACGTCTCAAATACTTGACCTAGTGGGATCAGSCWCTTGGCGTCACGTAGCCTGTGCTGACAATCCTGCCGATCTAGGTAAAAGAGGGTGCAAGCCACTGCACCTTGCCACCACCACCCTCTGATGGAACGGCCCCCAATGGTTGATAGAATCTCCTGATTCTTGGCCRCAATCCCCCATRCGCAACATTATAGYCCCAGAAGGTCGAAAAATCGCCAMATTTCATACATTAATAGACCATGACGACATTTTTGAACGATTTTTATCGTTTCCAAGAGCTCTCAGAGTAGTTGCTTATATGTTCAAATTTATAGAACTCCAAAGCAAAGTCAAGGGATCACATAATTTCCCATGCAACACCAGCCGCGATATATCACCACTAAGAGAATCGAAGCCGATTGACAAAAGGAGTTCACTCTTAGTTCTAAACCCATTTCTGGACACGAAAGGTCTGCTTCGTGCCAATGGTCGGCTTGCTAATTCGAGCCTAACTTACAATGAACGCCACCCTATAATAATTCCCGWGAAGTCACCATTTGCCTCATTGTTCCTCAACCACATCCACATCTTAATGCTACACGCCRAACATCGCCTCATTCAACATATGGTACGCCAAGAGTATTATATCTCCCGTCTTAAGCAGCAAATCAAGAAGTGCATCTTCACGTGCAAGATTTRCACTATGCACAAACAGAAGATGCGATCGCAGATTATGGCAGCACTTCCACCGGAACGCTGCAACTTCGCTCTACCTTTCACCACAACATGTGTTGATTTTGCTGGGCCTTTCCAGGTAAAGGCGTCTATGTTAAGGTCTCCCACTCTCATCAAAGGCTATGTGGCTGTCTTTGAATGTTTCACGACAAAGGCAGTACACGTTGAGCTATGTAGTAATCTGACAACGGAGGCTTTTCTCGCGGCATTTGCTCGCTTCGTCGCTACCCATCTAAARTTTGAGGGATAACGGCAAAACTTTCATTGGAGCTCAACGAGCCACAGAAAAGCAATTTGTGGCTTTCTTAAAACAAGTGTCACCCGCCATCGTACAAAAGTACGCCCTTCAAGGTATCAATTGGCAATTATACCCCCAAGCGCTCCTCATATGGACGGTTTATGGTAATCAGCTGTAAAAAGTTTCAAATCCCATTTCAAACGGGTAGCTGGAAATTATAAGTTCAATTACAAAGAGTTMACAACGTTATTAAATCGAATTGAAGCCRTTCTCAATTTACGGTCACTCACAGTACTCTCCATTCCTGAGCCAGGTGTGGAGTCGCTATCTCTATTAAATCGATGGGAACGAATTAAACTTCTCCATCATGATTTCCGCCGCCGATGGAAGTATGAATACATAAAAGATCTCCACAAAAGATACCGCTGGAAGACTCCTGAGCAGGCGCCTAAACTTGAAGACTGTGTCCTCATTCATGATGATTGTCTACCCCCTACCGRGTGKCGGCTTGGCCGCATAGAAAAGCTACATTATGGCTCCGACGGTCACATACGAGTCGTGGATCTCCGTACGCAAAACGGAATACTCACCAGACCGCTCGTGAAGCTTTRCTTTCTACCAATCACCGACGACCGCGAATCCGAAAACCGAAAAAACCAAACCGCGATATAATAAAAACACTAAATTGAACACTAAAACGAAAAACACGCCCGTAACAACCGTTCGAATTAACACGCCGTATCAAATAATCAAGAATATTTACAAATAATTGTCGATCMAACGACGACAMATTCATGCCACATATCGTGGCACAATTGCCCATGTCAATTTATATCACAGATATGTATAATTAACAATCTTCTCTAAACAGATCACTATGGATGTAGATACACCTGTCGCAACCCCGCCAAYCGCTCGCGTTACCAATGCGCCACGCACCGGGCCTACATCAACRCCCCGAACTGTGGCTGCAACAACGCCGACACCGGATAAGGTGCCCCATCTGTCGACGTCCTCATCGTCTTCACCATTGTGGAATTTTTAGGGGTATGCGGCCTTTACAATGGCAGTAACGGGCATTCTCTCAACTGCCTGTCGCACACTCATGCTACTACAGAGTGTGAGTCGCGGCGGCTGTGCCAAATGTGTCACCGGCCGCATCATACTCTGCTACATCGCAGCTCGTCACGCGGAGCGCACCGGCCACCCAACCATCGCGGCCGTGTCTTCCGACTTCCACCCGCCGATAGTGTCATACACCAGAGGAGTGTAACCTCGTTGCGGCGAATTCGTCACGAGGTGAGTGTCGGAAGTTTTTATTTTTCATAAATAAATATTCACATATAGTTTGACGTGAGGGATAGCATAGGTCTTGCGGTTTCTAGCTATGCTTTCGTTAACTTTGCCAATCGTGTCGAGCGAGCATAAAGGTCGAAAAGATGAAGGTGGCTGTTTTGGTTTTGGAGGTGGAACGAATGCTGTACCCTCCACGGGTTAGTTCTATTATATACGCGTTTTATATTTTGACGATCAAGTCATTGTTTCTTTTAGTGCTCTATTAGGTCCGCCTTGATGTTTTTTCGCAATTGTCAATATATCAATTTGCGTGACTAATTGGGGTGATTCTGTAGTTTCGTTTCGGTTAGCATAAGAAATAGCGTCATGTATCTGCTAGTTAGTTGGCTGCGGAGATTTATATTTGAACTTTCAAATACATATTTTGTAAGCGGTTTCCCAAGAAACCGTCCACTTCATTGCTTCGCCTAATGGCTGTTTTCAGGAGTTTTTGTTTTTGGGGGTTTCAAAAGTTTCTCTGAGGCGAAGTTTCCTTCGTTCTCACCATCCTGGTTGAGCTGTAGGCGACGCCTGGCTGAGTGGCAGGCTTCCCCAGCATGGCAATTTCTTCGTTTCACCAGTTTACGTGTTTTCGCTTGTTAAGATACTATRGTGCTTTCTCCTGGTGCCCTTGCTGCGGACGCTTCAAAAAGGTCGAACTCCTATTGTCTTACACTTCGTTTTTGAAAGATGTCTCTGCTTAGGGTTTCCGCTTCACAGGTCCGGCACCTCCCACTTGACGCTGCTGCTAAGTGTGTCGTTAAGGAACAGTAAGTCTATTATGGAAACATTATTTCCATTTTGATAGGTATTTTGCGTGTCACTATTTATAATCGTAATGTTGGTTTCGCTCAAGTATTCTAGAATACGACACCCACAATGATTTGTATTATGCTACCCCAATCATTAGATCATAAAGTCTCCCGATAGATTTATCAGTGCTTTACTTCTAGTTTGTAAAGACAACTCTAGGAGGATGTTTTGGAATTCATTAATTAATACGCTACGGCGAGCATAGCAGCTTAAAAGATATATTCCATGTGCCAACGTAAAACCATTTAATGCTCAGAGGCATGACGTGAAAAGTTGTCCTTTGCAGGATCATATTGCTACCTTTTCAATATATCTGTAGTGCAAATGCTATCCAGCGCTGGCTATATTGCTCGCTTAGTAAGGTGACATCGTCCTCTTCCAGAACTGTCTGTTTTAGCAGATATTATGCTGCAGCGCTGTAATAATCTCATTTTTTCTTTGTCTTGATCATATCTAGATACATACAAGTATTTCGGACAGTTCATACTCAAGACGGAATGCTCTTCTATACAAAGCATACAGCTCGTGGCATTTTTGCACACCTTTGTTTGGACGTGCCCTGCGCATTCAGACTAACCGTATGATACAGTTACAAATAATTGTGGCGAGTAAAATGAGGTCTGTTGTGTCAATCCCCTTTTCCAATTTCAGGCATCTAGCGATTTCTCCAATGGTACTGTAAAATCTTTCCACCTACCCATTAGATCCATTCCCAGAAAGAAGAAACCGAGTAGGCAAAAGATAACGTGGAAAAAGCCGAAGAGGCAACGAAGAATTCGTAACAAAAATCAGGCAGAAAGAACATTCGGTGTGGGCGAAACAGTTCTCATCGAGTCAAATAAACGCCAAGGAAATAAGCTCACTCCCTTGTAGCGAGTATCCTTATCATAAGGATAATGTGCGTTTGTTAAAGCTAATAACCCTCTCCACGTATCCACCCGCCTTTCTTTATCTAGACTGCCAATCATTGCGCTCTCTTTGGCTTCGACACTTACCAACGGCAAAATTTACGGATTACGGATGGTGACATGGTCATATGAGACTCATAGGGTTACATCGGATACACAACAAATCTCATGGCCTTTGCCGAATTGACGCGTGAAACCCGCTTTGTCCTGAAAAATTTACACCACATTCACATGACATTGACAAGCTCCTTCGAGCAGTGACTGGACCAACAAGACATCAACGAAGCTGGAACATCTCCGGAGCTGTCCTCGAAGTAGTAGCAGGTATGCCTGACTTTGACGACTTGATAAACTTAATTACAATAACAATAGGCATAGCAATTAATTACCAATTAAAATACAACAAAAATAAGAGAAAAAGATACCGGGCACCTTTATGACATTCTCTTGGCCAGAAATAGGGCCATTATCAATGATCTAGATAATATACTATAAAATACTAAATGATAATTTCGCCAAAGACTCAACAAATATCGTTCCGCAACCACCGTATTCACCTGGTCTGGCGCCGTGCGACTTCTGGCTGTTCACCAAGCTCAAAAGAACGCTCCGGGGACACCGTTTTTATACGATATTCAAGCCGCAGCGAAGACGGAACTGAAGGCCATCCCGGAAAGTGACTAAACCAGTGTTTCGAAGATTAGAAAATCCGTTAGCATAATGTAGTACATCTAGTGGGGATTACTTTGAAGGGGATGAAATTGATTTGAAAGAATAAATAAAGAATTTTCAAAATAAATACAATGTCACCTAATTTTTTGTGCACAGGTGTTTCTATCCATCGCACAAGCACAAAAAGGGTTATTAATCCCTTGGCGTATGTATTTCCACGAGTCTGACTTGTGGTACACTTTTTTTTTTTTTTTGAGTTGAAATGTTCCCGTTATTTTCTGCTAATATAAACAAAAAACGTTGTTGCAGTTGAGTGCATTATCTACTGCAGATCATTTGTGTAACTATTCATATTTTTTGTTACGCATTAAAATTAAATTGTAGTATTTTATTTTTAGAAATTTGTAAAGCAAGCGTGTTAGTTAGTTGGAAGCGAATTTCGTTGCGCTAATTAATACCTCAAGGGGATAAACCCGATTATTTGTGATAACGATGAAATAGATTCAATTTTGAATATCGAGTCATTCGACAAGGTCACCGTACCTGATTTGTTATTAGTTTCTAAGTTTAAAGCATTTCAAGACAAAAACCTTTCCACTTTCTAGTTAAGTTTCCTAGACCTAAGCATATGTGTATTAGGAAAACTACTACCGGTTGCATATAACAACAAAATGCTATTTCTTAGAAATAACGCTGTAGTGGCAAAGACATCTAGTCCCTGGATGATTGTGCTGGGAAACTAAATATTACGACGTGCGCTCCACAATTGGTAGCCAGCGTTACAGCAAAATACAGAACAACATGTGGCCAACTAGATACTGTTCAAGAAAGTGATGATGGCCTGGTCATTATAAACGATCACACCGCAGCAGCAACACATGACAACGCTACTGTTTTACTAAAAAGAGGTACTTACCTAGTAATATTTTCTGGTAAAGCTAACGTTAATGGAACGATCTACACAAATCGCAACGACATACCAATAAGAGTAGCCGGACTTCCTTGGGCCATTCAAATAAATATAACCGGGCACGACGATATAACGAGTTTATCTTACTTACGACACTGGACTCTAGAAAATCGCCAACTAATGCACCATTTAACCAATGGTTACAAGACAGGATGGGCAACAATATCATTTACCCTAATATCAATAACTGTCATTCCCGTGTTTCTGATCCTAATAACCTTCGCTAGAAAACGGAGAAGGCAGGTAGTGCCAAACATCACTCAACCGCCAACAAGAAGGGCCGTGGACGTACCCCAATTATAAGGGGAGGAGTTATCATAAGACTGTTTAACAGTCTAATGTTACGGCAAGGTTGCGTGTAACATAAGTCAGCAGAAGTTATTATAAGAATATTTATCAATATTACGGCAAATGTTGCACGTGGCCTGAGTCATCAGAAGTTATCGACAAAGTTCAATGTTACGACAAAAATTGCAAGTCGGCATTCTTACACCGATAAAACAGACACTGAAATGCAGCTAGCAGCGGATGCTTCAGGGAGAGAGCCAATGTGTTTTAACGTGAATACCTGTCTATGAAAGACTAAACTCCACGGTGCTTTCTATTGCTAGAAGCACGTAGATCAATACAATGCGTTGATCAGCGCCCCAAAGCATAAATGCATTTTGCTTTTAATCCTTGGTTCCAATTATTTCGGGTGGATAGGGACACCCTAGTCACCTTGGTCGGAGGCCCATCTAAAACCTCTGCCGTACCGTGGGTCCGGCACACGGCCGCAGTGCGACTCCACATTGAACAAAATGCCCTTCCTGCATTTAGGTATAAACCACAGCCACCACGAACCTCCCCAAACGGCCAAACCCAATGAGCAGATTGGAGTTACCTCCAAGGGCTTACTGCTCCCCGTGGTACCAGGTTATAGTCTTTGGTCTGACTTTGTAACTATTTGCTACTTCCAGTTGAGTTCCCGTATAAACTAATAATAAGACTGGCTGCATTTGGAGCTGTGACAAATGCCTTTTATTTTAAGATATAAATATAAAGCTTAGAATTTGACTTCCAGCTGAATATTATAGCACTTATCTGACTTAGGCTTATAGTCGCCTCTTACGACAGGCATGCCTTGCCGCGGGTATATTCGGTTTCCCCCCGCCCTAGTTAATATCTTTACCTAACACTAACCTTGACATCATGCATAGGACACATTGCATAGCAACAACAAAGGATGTTTAGGTACAAAGTCTAAACAGTAACACACCATATGCCACTCAACAATAATCTATATGTAAAGTAAACATATAAATACTAGTGTATTAAGTAACACGCTTATCTTTATCTAACACTAACCTTGACATCATGCTACACATTGCATAGCAGCAACAAAGGATGTTTAGGTACAAAGTCCAAACAGTAACACACCATATGCCACTCAACAAWAWTCTATATGTAAAGTAAACATATAAATACTAGTGTATTAAGTAAGACGCTTGTCTTTTATTGTATAAGCAGCCATAGAGCTCAGTCGTACTATTTAAGTATATTAAATAAAGGAACGTTCTCATACTAACATTCGTGTGAGTACAGAACTAAAAAATATATTTTTTTGATTAA